TATATATATATATTGGAGTGCTTAAAATATTGGCTTACCAACGTATTACCAACTTTGACAACAATAAAGCTGAAATGTAAACATAGCTCCACCCATGACACATTACCTATTGCATACACAAAAGTGTAATGAATTCTGGTTTATTATCAGTACCTGCGCACAGTGGTGCTCCGTTTATCTAATTCACCGTGACCAGCCATTTCATTTCTTAAGTGACAATTATTTCTAATATCAAGTATAAATAAATAAATAAAAATTTCTAGAAGTTTTAATATGCAACTAGACAAAATATCATAATCAGAAAATGTTTACTTTATATTTAGCGACTAAAGAATTTAATACATCACAAATTAATACCACTTGTATACCTAGAAATTCTTTCTTTATGTAAGCATTTTTCAAATGTATTTTTAGAATCTTAGTTCTATGATTCCATGACAAATTATAATGCATTCAGGAAGCTGGATTTGGACCTTTCCCCTACATTTTCATCCAATGATTTTCCTCATAAGCAGCTTTCTGTAAATAATATTTACTGAACAGAATTTCAAGATCTACAAATTAAAACACACTTGGGCAATGTGCAAGAAACATGAGTTTAACAATTTTTTACTGCAAATTAACGGTGGTGAGAATACATAAACATATTTTTTTTTTTTTGTGTCTTCATAAATTTTATCTAAAAATACTAAAAAAGTTTGGAGGAAAATTAATATTGACAAAAAAAAAACTAACTAAAATTAATTTTTTGCATGGTAATTTAATTTTAGAATCAAGGTTTTACCTATTAGTTTGTGAAATAGAGTTTCTTCACTTCAGTTTGTTTGAGGGAAAAGAGTCAAATTGGGAATTTTGTTAAAACAGGGTTTAACTGTATTACAAAATCAACTTCTAAGATTAACACATAAATTTTAAACTTATATCTAAAATTCTCAATAAAAATGGTTGTATTTTATGATCACAAAATTCTTAAATTAATTTAGCTAATTTGCATTTTACAAGGCATAGTTGAGTGAAATATTGTTGTTTAAATTTCTTACCATTGCAGAATGGGTGAATTAGAATTAAAATAAGGTAAAAAATCTTAGAAAACATTAGGTTATAAACTTTAAATAGTAGATATTAATATGATTCTATTCCCTTTTTTAACTATATTTAGTAAATATAGCAATAAACATTTTTCTAAAAACATTTTTACCTTAAGTCTTAAAAAATTTACAAATGCATGCATAAAAGTCAAACTTTAGAAGAAAAAAATATTGATTAAACTTGCAAACCTTAACAATTCTTCTGATAAACCATAGCTAACTCCGATATAATCCAGAATATCTGGCTTAATCTGGTTCATTTCATAAAGCAATGGTGGTAAAGACATTCTCGGTTGCAATCGTTCCTTTAACATACTTTCAATTTCTTCATCATCTTCATCTTTTATTGGTAGTGAAGTCATATTATTAAGAGCAGATACAGTGGGTAAATTTTCAGATGTGTTATATTTACCCTCGTAAAATTCTTGCAGCAATTTCAAAGCCAAAGTTCCATATCCTCTCTAAAAAAATTAACTCGTTGAATAAATTACAAAAATTAAAAATTATTTCAACTTTTAATTTGATTCATGTAACAAAAAATAATATCTGAAATCAGTAATTTATTTTTATTAATTATAAGTAATTTATTTTTAAAAAAAATTTAAAACAAAATTTAGTTTATACCACTTTTTATTTTCAAACATAGTATTTTTTATTTAATTTTAATTCTTTTGAAAAAATTTATACTTAATTCTATTAGGCACTCAAATAATAAATAATGAGAAAGAAAAAAAACTAATTATAAATAATATTGATTACTAAAAAGATTTTCTAAATCTTAGTTAACTAAATTATTTCAATTCCAATATAAGAACTCTTCTTTCTGCTTTTAAACTAAAACTATTTTAATAAATAAAAAGTTCAAGAATATACAAAGGGCATTCATGCAAAATGTGTTACATCTATATATATTTTTTAACATATTTTTAACATGATCTTAATATATCATGAAACAAAAATTTTTATTTCATGATGATACATAAAATCAGCCACATGCCATTTTTTACAATCAGATTTCATCAAAATACTACTTTAATAATATTTATTAATAAATTATTGTTATTAAAGAATAAGAAATTTTTCTTCGTATGACAATTTTTAAAATTGTTTATAAAAAAGGCAGGAGTCTGATAAAAGAAATTGCATATTGCAAAAAAAAGGCATTTTTTAATGTTACATTTTATTTTAATACATATTATTTTATTTATATAGATAGTAACACAATTCAAGAATGTTAAATTTTACTAAGAGTATTAAAAAAATTTAGAAGCACTAACGAATGCAAATTCATAGAAAAGTAAAGGATATTTATTTTTGAGTTACAGTAGCTCGAAATAATCTCTATAACAACACTATTATCTCCTCTTTTTCACAAGTCGTGTATCAATGTTTTTACCGGTAATGAGTATATTAAACTTAAATAAAATAAGTAAAGACATATATTATTAATTGTTCAATTTAACTATTTATAAAAGTTATTTTAAGACATCTATTTGAAAAGTTATGAGCTAATGCTTGAATCAATCTTACACACCCAAGATATACAAATCCAACATTATAATGTCTGTTTTAATTCAGATAGCAGGAATTAACATGATAAACTGGCAGCAATGATAAAAATTTTGAAGTGATAGAAGAGCATAAATACCTACGTTTTGATAGTCTGGGTGAGTTGCTATTTTTACAATTCGAGCACCAGAAAGAGCAGGAAAATCTTCCTCAGAATACTACAAAAGAAATTTTATGTAATGAATATTTTTGTAACAGATAAAGATTATATTTTAATTAATATATAGGAACTAAAACCTTGAACATTAAAGAAATTATGTGGGAAAATACAGGCATTAAATTATAAAAAAAGAAATGAAAATGCATGAAATAAAAAAAAAACTGTATTAAAAAGAATTACAAAGACTATTTGGTGTGCATGTGCAGCATTAACAAAAGCTTTTTTTGGTGATTCTACTTCATGGGTTGAAAAGTACCAAATTAAATGCTATATAACAATAATAATTTATAGCAACATATTTTAAGCTTTGAACAAGACAAAAGCTATATCATTAATAAATCAACAGGTCAGAAATAAAGCATTTGAAAATTGTTCAAATCATCTTAGAACAATGGAATGTTAATAATATAATATAAAATTTTAATTAAATAAAAGTATAATATAATTGCAAAAATATAAATATAAGAATATTATAAAATTATAAGAATGTAAAAGAAAAGCTATAAATTGAAATAAATAAAAATTAGATAACAAAGACCACAGAAACCTCCGTTTGATTAACAAAATTTTTCAAGTTAATTAATTAACCATGTCTTAAAAAATTCAAATTGAAAAATCGTAATTGCCAGCACCTAGTCTCAATTTTTATAAATCCATGTATTTTAGGCTTTGTTTTGATTAGTTTTACACATTTTCACATTAAGTTTTACACATTTAAATAATTACGATAAAAAAATTCTTGGAAAGAAAGTTATTTTTCAGCATTCTAAGAAAATTGCAAATTCCAGGAGGAATCTCATGCTTGAAAAAAAAAAAAAAACTAGCAACGTTAAACTTTAAAACAGATAGGCATGTTTCTTTAACTTATAGTGTCTAAAACTGGCCCCAGACAATGTTATGTTACTCAAAAAAGAGTAAAGACAAATCAAATGTTTCACCAAGCAAGTAAACTCTCAGTTTAGTTTAATGTTTGTTGACAAAATAAATAAAATAGAGAGAGACGGACAACAAAACTGCCTTAGGTAATGAAATAAATTTTAAAGTTGTGCACAAAATATAAAACATTAATCATTATTGTTAAGTATTTAAACTTAATTTATAGTTTTTACTATTGTAGAATAATCAAAACATTACTTAACTTTGTTAACTCTGATAATTTAAAAATAAAGAAGCAAATCAAAATTTAAATAAATAAATATTTAAAAAGTAGAATGTATACCATTCTAATAGAAATGAATACAAAAACTCTCTAAAAAAACTGCTTTAAAAATGCCTTTAAAAAATTATATCTAAATCCTTTACCTCTTGAGAAATAGACCAAGGAATTATATCTCCTTCATAACGTTTACCTCGACTAAGCTCCTGCTTCACAATGTTCTCAGATAATTTACCTTCTAAACAAATCTAAAATAATAACGAAAAAAGTTTTAAAACTAAAAATTTTAAAAATTAAAAAAAAAATCACAAATGTTTAAAATGTTTGCAATGTAAATTTTAAACATCAACTATATTATTAACAACATTTATTACTACAGCTGATTTTTTTTATTTGCATAAACTTTTTGCCTTTTTTTCCCCTTGTATGAACACACACTTAATAAAAAGTTACTAAAATCTTATTTCGTAAAAAAGAAACAAATATTTATAATCAATACTGTTTTAAAAAATAAATAAAATATCTATAATACATTTTAAAACTGTCAAAAATAAAGTATTTAAAAAAATAAAAACCAGCCCAGAAGTTGCATGATTACAGTATGAAGAATAATACATTTGCATACAATTAATTTTCTTTGTTATAGAATATGTGACATATTTGCATTTGTAATTTTTTGTAATAAAAATTACAATATTCCATCAAATTATTATAAAACATGCTCATTTAAGCTATTTTTATTAATATGATAAAGCTAAAATCCAATGCTAACTAAACGCGAGCATGAAGAAATTTTCTAATATTAATATTTTTTCATATTGTCTATAAATAACTTCACTAGACCGCATAAATTAGTGGCTTTAGAATCTATGACAAGATTGAATATTGCTTTCAACATTCAATATGGCAACAGCTTCCAGAATAATAATTGTATTAAGAAAAATTACTGTAAAGATAACACAGGAAAAATACAAACCTGTAACACGCAAATTATTTCAGGTAAGGTTTTAGATGAAGGACTACACAAGCAAAATAAGTGATGAGCAGGTGCATCAGACATAATTAACAAGTCATTTGGTGAATTTTGGTAATGAGATGCAACTAAAATAGCAATAAGACGTCGGAGGAAGCGTTCGGCATATTTATTACAGCTAAACAATGTATCTCGATTTATGTAATACTTATATATTATTAAGGAAATATATGAACATTATCTAATTGTTTAATTTAACAGTTAAAAATAATCCAGCAACATTTATGATTATAAAAACAAAAATTTTAATGACAGATTTTCTTGAAATGGAGAACTTCCAATCTATTTTTAAAATGATTGCAATTATAAAAATTAAATTACAGGTTTTCATGAAATAATGTGTTACACAAAGCGTAATATATTAATCACATTCTAAAATATCAAAGAAATGTTTCACAACATGAAAAATATTGTGAAGAAAAATTGGAATTAAAAATAAAAAAAAAAATTTAAAATTTGAATCGGCAACCTAATAAAGATTTTTTTACATATATTAATGATACATAAAAAAGAAGAAAAAGAAATAATAACTGATATAATGATATCCACTAAACAATAAGCAAATACAACACTAAAATGTACTAAAACAGTGTACAAAAAAGTGTACTAAAACAGTGTATCAAAAAAATTTACTAAGAAACACTTTTAGACAAGTAAACTAACTACCATTTTAACAAGAACTACCAGTACAATTTAAAAAAGAAAATGTTTAAAAGGATATAATTTGCAATCATTAAGTGAAGGAAATTTAGGCAATGCTACAGGTGGAATTATAACATCAAGACACAATAAATGATTTAGCCAATTTTCTACTTGATCTCTTGGTCCATACCGAATTGATTCATCAAGTGTCAGTTCATGTAAAATACGTCCTAAAAGTAATAAATGAATACAAGTGTTTACTTTAATATTTACAAAAATACATTCAAATTTCAATACTATTTTTACAAGTACTTAAAGTCTTTAATGAACATAAATTAAAGTGAAATTTGAATCACTCACCTGTAAATTGTCAATAAAGTCAAATAAATAATATATAAGTCATTACAGCATTTCTTTTTAAGAATTATTATAATACAAATTACAGTATAAACAGAAAATTCTAGTATCAATAAAAATAATTATTTGAAAAACTCTTGAAAGATTTTGAAAATTTATTAAATAAACATTTTTATAAAACTAATGATACAAACAAAAGGTCCTCTACACCAGTGGTTCCTATATGTTGTTCCACAGAATTTTAGGATTCTGTGAAAGGGTCAAAAGGGTTCCGAGGCTCAGGATTTTTTTTTTTTTAACTAGTCATAATTTTCTAAGCCTATAATTAAATCTTTTAAATTTTAAATTAATAATCCATTAATTATTCAATATTTCTATGTTAATGAAATCATTTAATTGAAATGCTTTTAACAAAAGAAATTTCAAAACAGTGCCTTTTCTAAAAACAATTATAATGAATGAATTATGAAAAGATTATGCATTTGTGAAAAATTCCATTAGTATTTTGCATCAAATAAAAAGAACTAATCTCAATAAAAAAGTATGTCTTTCAAATAACCATTTTCAACATTCATTTTCTTTTCTTGTTTTTATTTTAATGCAAACCATATTTCAGCGCATTCTTTTTCAGTTTATGCAGGCACTAAACTCAAATTAAGAATTAAACTAGATGTCACTCCAGTGAATTCAACAGTCTGACTTAAAATAGAATTTTAAGACTCATATTGGTAAAATGATATGATGAAAAAATTCCAGTCCTTATTAATTCAATAATTATTTTCAAAATAATTATTAAAATTTGGATCATTAAATATATTCAAAATAATAAGTCTTTCGTTAATTATATTCACAATTGCTGATGAAGTTTATTGATTAAGTCTAGGGGTTCAGCCATAAGAAGGTTAATCATCTAGACTTCCGCAGCATAAATAAATTGGGAATGCTGCTCTACACTTACCTTATAATTGAAGTATAAAATTACAATGCTATGAATTAAAATTATAAACGATATGCATTAGCTAAATAGATTGATTTGAGTCCATTCCTCGTGATAATCTCAAATAACAACTGATGGTATTAGCTAAAACAATTCAATAGTAAATGTTATCTACAGAACCAAGTCCCATATCCGGACGTCTGTTAGTTGGAAGGGTCTTTTCCAGACACTTTTTAACAGTCAAAACTCTTGACTTTTCAAAAAAAAAAAATTGCACTTGTAATTTTTAAAAAGCATGCAAGACTGAGAATCCTCTACTTTTATGCTTTTTACCAGATTTCCAATTTTTTTTTGCATTTTAATCCAATTTCTGCTATATGTTGGAGAAAAGAAATTGAATAACACGAAAATGAAATTTGGCAATTAACAACAGCTTGAAAAGGATTGAAAAGGATCGTGTATTTTTTCTCATGTCATGTCATGTAAAAAAGCAATATTACCACCAAGAATCAGACACTCAATTTCAAAGTGCAAAAATTTTACATTCTGAAATATTCCGGATTTTGGATGAAATCGTCACAATTAAAGCAGGTGATAAAGTGATAAATCAAAAGTACAATTCGAATTCACATATAGTAATATAATGTATTAAAAATGAAATCAAAAGTTTAAAAACTATGTGGTAATCCCAAACTATTGAAAATGCGATTGACGAAACCAAGCGGACAATAAAATCAGTACAAATTGAGTGCATCAAAAAGTAATTCTTCAACTGCGCAATTTGAAATGTAATGTGTATCAATATCTAACAAAAATTCAATCGTAAACCCACATGCGATTGCTGGTGAATCATCAATAATTGAAAGCGAAATCCACCATTTAAAGTTTGCTGAACTAAATAAAATCGTATTTAAAAATAGATTTTAAAAACCAAGTGAAAATCCGTTTTAATAATTAACGAAAAAGTGATCAGCAAAACCATAGGGATTAAATGTGGAATCTTCTCTAAACTAAAAATGATTATTAACTGAAATGCGTGATTCGGAATTCACGGTACATTATAATGTACCGTGAATTCCGAATCACGATATCTTAATACACCATTATAATGGTGTATTAAGATATCGAAATTATAAAAACCACATGGAAATCTGCAACAAAAACTGCAAAAATAGCGCAATCATCCGAATTTATACGTCATTGATTAAAATTGACTTTATTTATCATTTATTTGTTCTTGAATAAGGATGTTTTGATGTCAGTTTACTTTAAAGACCTATTATCTAGAAATAGCTTGTATTTTCCAGACTTGCTGAAGTCCCAACGATTCCAGATATGAGACATTTCACCGTATTGATTAGAGCATACCTGTTAAGGACTTAGATTGTTGACCACTTGTTAAAGTATTATTGTTTATGGATTCTTTTCGTAACTGAGCAATGAGCTTAAGTGACAATGATCTTCCTGTTCCTTCATAGCTAAAATCAAATCAAAAAATTGTATGTAAATTATCATAAAAATTAATAAATATGCAAAAAAGTGCAAAATGCAAAGACAAAGAATATAGAGGGGAGAAGAAGTTCAGCTCTTCGAATATGTAACTAACGGGGGATACTAGACCAGAAAAACAACTTACAGGGTGAACAACATACTCAGATTTAGAAGAGCATCATACATATTAAAATCCAGTGCATGCGCATTAGAAGTAAAGCGACAGTCAGGAGATACGTTACTAGTGAGCCGGTCGTTAAACAACTCTACATGTATCAGGGGTGATTGTCACATGAAGTAAAAAACCCTGAAAACTTTATATGCAAAAACTCAATCAATTTACACATAAGTGAAATACATACAGTTTTAAAGTCATAATTGGAACTGTATGTTAAAATTAATTAATAAAATTTATTAAATAATAATTAGAAATTAAGCTTTCGTTCTCAATGTATTTCTAAATAGTTACATGTTTACAATCCCCTTGACACAACTACATTTCAATTGTAACAAAAATATGCATATAATTTTTAAACATCTATAAAACTGTTTATAAATTTCATTAAATGGATTAATTATATTGCACAATCAAACTGACAGATAATTTAAATTTTAAAATTAATTTAAAGTAAAAATTAAATATTTTATTCAAAATAAAAAACAAAAACATCAAATTTCTAAATTAATATCTATCTCTTAAAGAAAGATAAAAGTTTTGTTTGTTTAGTCTTAGACAAATATTCTTTCTGAGAGTCAAGAGCCAATTTTATTTTTCTGTCTTCTTTTTGAGAATCACAGTGCTTTTTACTTTGAACTGGAGAAGATTTAGCAGTGCAGGAAGGTGGAGAATCCACATGGCTCTCAGATACATGAATAGTAGCATTAGGGACATGAGTAGCATTAGGGACAGTTTTTGCAAGAGACTGCTGGTAATTTGACCAACTGTAGATCAAATTATGAGCAAATTCTCGGTTAATTGGTTCATGTGCAGGATCTTTAGAGCCAAAAACCTCATAAGTACTGGCATTAAGAGAGGAAAGATAATATTTTGTTGTTTGAATAGAGTCTATGGATTCAATATTAAGAGAAGTTCTATTTTCAGACATAATGTCACTCATCAAATTAAAGGTACTCTCAACTGATGGTCCGTGAAAACATGCTAAAAGAGCTTTAATCATCTTTGAAAGAATGGGATATTTTTTTACACTGCCTTCTTTAAGTTCAATCACTTTTGACCAATACTCCATCATAGACTTGCTTTCAAAAAAAGCCAAAGAATCATCAGTCTGATACTGCCTTAGTTCTAAGTCCAGCTTAAGTAGTTCTTGCTTTGAAATAACATTTGGCAAAAATTCTGCCAGCTTCATCAGTGCCAGAAAAGTTGTAGTTTCTCCCCTCAGAACAGGATTGAGAGCAGATAATTTAATTAACAAATGATTGCTCAACGGTAACTTCTTCTGCATATAAGATGCGCAATTAGAGTAACTTTTTTTCAACACCTTTAAGAAGTCCTGAATAGTGGAATCTGTTTTCTTACTGGTATCTGCAGCATTCATTCCAGAGAAAATGAGTCTGTATTAATAGTATAATGTATAACAAATAATTTTTAGAATCTGTGGGGTTGATTTTTAAGACATCCTGATAACATTTAATGTTGCACAAAAACTCATGCTTTAAAAAAAAAGCAAAGAACTGCTTAGTCAGATTAAACATTTGAACATGTAGTTCATGTAAAAGGCATTCATTTGATTGAAATAATTTAACATATTTGTTAAAATAGGGCAAACCAGCTTGATAAATACCAATTTGTAATAATGTCTTTCTCTGCTCAACAAAAAGTCTTTGAATAATTCTTTTTTTCCTATTTCTTCCATCATCAGTGAGATGCTTCTTTTCCAGTTGTCCTTGAATATTTTGAATACTTTTAATTCCTTCATTAGAAAGTTGTCTTTTAGAAAAAACTTCCTTAATATAATTTTCATAAAATTTTTTGTCCAATCCAACCCACGAAAAATAAAATATTAAAAGAGCATCCCATAAATATTGTAGACGTTCAAGCACTTGAAGCATATAGAGCCATCTGTGGTCAGGTCTATTTAAGGGTTTCAGTAATTTCATCTGAAGAACTGAACACACTTGGAAAAATAATTCCCTTTTATCAGCACTCTTAAGATCAAAATATATGCTGTCACATAAAATTTCCAAATGCTTCAAAAATGGCCCTGTAAATTGTTTTGAGCAATTGTTTGCAATATGGCATGTTTCTCCATCTATGTCCAACAAATGTGGAACATTGATGGATCTAATTTTAGTTTCAACACCATTATTTCCCCCCGCATTGTATTGCAGGAATCCATTAATACACTTATTGAATTTGAAAATGGCACTCCATTTTCCCTGAAAATTGAAACAATAGTATAATAAATGCATTCTGCATTACAAGCAGGCAATTTAATTGAAGCTAAATGTCGCAAAATCATTTTGTGCTGGTCCTCAGCAAAGTATCTAACGAGTACAGCTAAGATACTCTCAGAGGCTCTATTAGTGCTTTCATCAATGTTGAGAGAAAAAAAAGAATTCTTTAAAACTTTATACTGATTTTCTTTAATTGTTTTTGCAAGTCCATATTTTAGCTTATATGATGCTGTTGTTCTACTAATGTCTAATGAATTTAAGGCCATGGTATCACGTGGTAACGTTTTAGTTAACTCCACAATTTGTGGAGCTAAAGAAAAAGGAGTTGAATGTTCAGCCAAAAATAATAGAACAAGTGCTTCAGCCCTAGATTTTCGAGTGACCAACTCGACAGTACGTGATTCATCAGTATGAGTTAGATTTTCTGATCCAGGATAAATTGAATTTAAAATCTGGGAATTTTTAACAGACTGACTACATTTCTTATGCACAACTATTCCAGAATGATTCATCAAGGATTTAAACCCTTCATTGTGATATTTGATTGATGTATTGCACGCAATACAGAAACATGTACCTGATGTATCAATCTTACGGCACCACACGTTGATTTCTTCTTCCAAGATGTCTTTTTTAATTAACCATTCAAAACGAAACTTATTCTTGCAGTCTTTTTCTAGATCGCTAATGTCATCTTTTTCTGTTAAGAACTTCAAGCTTACATAAAAAATGCGATAAACGAAATTACTTTAAAAATGCATGCCGAATATTCAACACAAAACGTGCACGAGGAAAATCTTTCGGCAGTGAAAATTCTAACACGTGCTGACAAGTAGTGCAGCGCGCAACTAAAATCTACAACCCTACACCTAAAGCCTCTGCTTTTAATTAATTCCAATAAATTCGCCAAGCAGTAAAGATTTTCTTTTCCCAATCCTTAACCGCAACAGCGTCACGCATTCTCCTTTCCCCCAATCCACCCTCGCAACAGCGTCATGCCTTTCCCAACACAAGCAAAAGGAGAAGAAACAAATTCTTCCCTCTCTCACATTCCTCACCCCCTTCCCCCACCTTCCACTACTGCTCCTAGCCTCGGACCAGCGTAGTACGAATCCTTGCCTGAGGGTTGCTACAAAAGAGCGTTTATCGCTATTTTGCGAACTTTCTATTCAATTTGTGATTTTTTGACGAAACTGAAAGGTAAAGCTCCCGATTTTATACCCGTAACGATAACAGGAAAAACCCGGAATCCCGGGGTACCCCCGGACCACAATCACCCCTGATGTATGGTTGGGTATGCAGCCTCCCACCATTTTATTCTTTTTCTATATCAAAATGTGTTTGCAGATTTAATCAACATGGACGATATAAATGTATTCTCAAAGGAATATCTTTATTAACAGTTCAGTACCCTTTATCAGTAGTGTAAAAAATGCAGAACAAACCAATAATAAATAAAAAGAGAAAACTTTTCTTCTTCTCCCCAATCCTAGTAGTGGTTGGGAGGAGGGAAGGTGAAAACCGGGTTCAAAAATTTCTGCTGATGTGCTCCTAAAACTTGTTGTTTTTTCCCCTTATATATCGGTACCACACCAAACCTTAGGAAATTGGTGTACACAGAAGCTAGCCTTCTTTCTCTATATTCTTTGACTTGGATATTCTATCTCAAGTACTGATTACAAATTAATTTTCCTATTAAATATTAACTTGTTTAAGCACCAGGCAGAAAACAAAATTATGTTCTGTAGATACAGCTAGACATAACATATTTGTAAATCCTTTCCCCTGTAAATTTGTATTTCCTTCTTCCATTAACCTAACACAACGATATTATAAACATTTGGTATTCAGGACTGGGGCCGAAATTTTATGTTGTAACATTTTGAAAAACAAATCTTCTTTAAAATGCAATGATAAAATTATGTTTTGCCAACTATAATATAGAAAATAATTTTATGTTCTCTTGAAACATAAAAACTTTTATGTTATATCATTTAGAAAAACAAATCTTTTTTAAAATACAATAAAAAAAATTATGCTTTGAAAGCTATAATTTAGAAAATAATTTTTGCAAAAACTATATTGCTATGAATCATTTTAACATTAATTACCCATTAACAGTTGATGCTAAGAATATCAAATATGGCCCCATCAAAGCTTTAATGAAAGGAAGTGGTATGGCAGCTGCTTCATCAATCACAAGAAGTTCAACCAGTCCCAATTTAGCCTCGGAAGATGGTTGCACATATTTAACAGTTTGTCTATGTTTTCGCATCACATTCACTTGAACAATAGCTTTGTTGAATTCAGGATTCATAGATCTTACTTCCTCATAATCAGTTGTTTTCTAAATAAACACATTATAGTAGAATTAGTGTAGGAAATTTTGTTTCAATTCATAAAAATTTAAAATTATGTAAAGACATGCCTCCCAACAGTTACAGATTTTTAGTAGTTTCAGAATATATTTATTTTCTGATAACAAAGTTGATTTATTAATATTTTTAATGAATTAGAATTGAAAAAAATTTTGTTCTCACCAATATGTATAATATATATTAAAGATCAAATAGATACATGGTCATGTTGCTAAGTTAGGGTAAAAGTTTTACAACATTTGTTTTAAAAAGTTCTGTTTTAGTTCACTACCACTGGAAAAAATACTTGCAAGAACTACAAATTTTTAAGACTATTTAAAGAGAATAATAGAACCTTCTTTCGGAAATTTAAAAAAAAATTAAATTACCCTGATAATGTAATTAAAAAGGCTTGTCATGATTTTAAACATATGTTTTGCTATATTGGAAATATTGGAAAACAAATGACTACATTATTTTAGTTGCAAACTATTAAATTTAAATAGAAGAAATTCTAAATATATATATATATATAGTAAAAGAATATTTTTAAATTCTGATTTACTTTTTCGTTTAAGTTCTTTGCTTTCCTCTATCTTTTTTACTACCTCTTTACTTTCCTCTTAACTATTGCAAAACATTTAAAATTATTTTTGGTTTTTAAAAATTATTTTTATAGCTAGTGACAATTTTAAAAAAAAGAAGTAATTTCTTAAAACTAACAATAAAAATGCATTTATTAATAAAATTAATTTCATTTCAAGAGACTACAAGTTTGAAAACAGAGTGTATTTAATTATTTTAATTACTGTTTCCTAATTTAAAAGAAAATAGAAAGGTGTAAGCTTTGGTGAATTCCTTACTTTTTCTTAATATCTATTCTTTATTTATTTAAAATATAATATTTTAATAACTTTGTTGGTTTAATAACTGAAGAATTTAATATTTCATTTCACCAAATACTTCACATGAGTGGCTGAATAATATTAACTAAATATTTAGAACATCCTGATATTTTACTAATAAAATTAGCTGTTAAATAAAAAAAAGTTTTAAAATATTAATAATACCTCATAGCCAAGAGCATTTAATCCATCCAATAAAAATTTGAAAAACGTTTTCAAATTTTCTGGATGAGGAGACGCAACAGAAATATTGGTATACTTAAATGCTATAGCTGCAGCTACAGCAAGACCCAGAGCAGCGGATTTTCCTCGTCCACGAGCAGCTGTTAAAGTAACAGTACTACGAAGTGTCATTTCAGTTAAGGAATCGACAAACTTTGTCACAGCTTTAGCCTGGTCAAGAGTTTTGCACATTTTAATCAGAACATCTGCAGGCTGAGAACTATCTAATGATGATTTTAATAGTTGAAGTTCTCGCTCTTCTGGAGTCTGAGGCTCATCCTGTAACATAAAAGATTATTAAAAATGCAATTAATTAAATGTTTTAAATACTCAATATTTATTTTAAAGTTTTTCTGAGAAAAGTTTATAATTGCAAATAAAAATATAAATTCAAAGTTAAAGTTTAATCATTTCATACCTTTTAATGATTAATAGGGGGATAACAAATTTTCTGGGATACAGAGGGATAACAAATCAGTTCCTGTTTATAATGTTTATTTCAATGCTTTAAAAACTCAATATTCAATGATAATTTATGTATAAAATATCAATCATTATAAATAAAAATATTAATTCAAAATTTATGTTTAATAATTTAATATCTTATAATGTTTCATTTGGTACATACCCTTTAAGGATAACAAATCCTCTGGGATATAGAGGGATAACAAATCAGTTTCTAATGAAATATGTTATCAATTCAATGCTTTAAAAACTCAATATTTAATGAAAATTTTTATGTAAAAAATCATACATCATAAATAAAAAAAATATTAATTTGAAGTTTATGTTTAATCATTCAACATCTTATAATGTTTTATTTGGTGTCCCTCCGGGATAGCGAATCAACTGGGATATAGAAAGATAGCAAATCAGTTCCTGTATTCAATGCTTTATAAACTCAATATTTAATGACAATTTATGCATAAAAAATCAATCATTATAAATAAAAATATTAATACAAAGTTAATGTTTTATCATTCAACATCTTAATATGTTAGAATATTCTAAACTCTTAAATAGCTTTTCAGGGTGGACACAAACTCTCAAGAAATAAATTCCCTAACTTTTAACTTTATCAGACTGATTTAGTGAATTTTTTTGATTTTCGTAACCGGTGGCATAAATTTTATTATTAATTTTTAAGTTGCACTTTCTTCCTATACATGAAATTTATTACAAAATACTTATACTTGCTATAAAATTTAAAAATAAACAATTTTAAAAAAATAGAAGGCCATATTTTTGGGGGAAAGTATCAGATTATTTAGATACCTAAAACTCAAATTTCTTTTCTCTGGCTTTTTTGGGTATTTTAATAAATTCTTTGATATTTAGAAATCAATAAAATTCCTTGCTTTGTGTCCATCCTGGTTTTATAACAGATTTCATGATACTTTAAAATGCGCCAGTAATATCTGACTGTAATTAAAACTAGATTTTCTTAACAAATGTTATAATCAAATATTTTTAAATAAAATACTTTAAATAATACAAGAAAACATTGCTTAAAATTTGCAACAACAACAAAAAATAATAATAATAATTTTGCCTATTAGTTCATTATTATTAGCAAGCTAAACATAATACACATGCAATAAGTAATTTACAATTCAATCAGTAAAAAAGTAAGGGGGAAAAAAAGCAGAAACATGTAATATTATGTTACATATTTATATGAAAAATAAAAATTCTAATTAAAACTTTTAAAAATCTTTCAAAGCTTGGTTATTGTTATTATTAATAACATATTTCAATACTCGGGTAGAATTCATTAGCATATTTTATCTAATATTGCATGTTATTTTTATCAACATAATAAAATAGTATTAAAAGTTTAGAAAAATTTTAAAATAATACTATTGTTGTTACTGTTAATAGAATTATAATAAATGGAAGTTTGTGATAATAGAAAATATTTATTAATTTAATTGATATCTTTCTTAATATTTCAAAACCAGTCATAAAATGTCAATAATTATGAACAAACAATTTATTTCATATCATACTTACTCTTGACTTTGGAGGCAAAGTCTTTATTGATAAAGCATTTGATGATATAGGTAATATATTCAATTTATCATCCAAAACTAGACAGTTTGAACAAGTTGGTAAGGATAATATAAACCTCTCGTTAAATCTGCAAACAACACTTTGGTGAGTCTCAGTCCTATAACGAGCATGGACATCCTTTGAATAAAAGTAAAATTATTAATAAAGAAAGGAAATCTTACAATAATTGCAAACAAATATTATTTGAATGAGACACTATAAAAACAATCTATATTCTAAAAAGTATATAGAACATAAAAAAAGTGAGAAGGAAGAAAAAACTAACAAAATTAGCTACCTTGTCATAGTTTCCATCAAATTTATAAAAAGTTGTTCAAAATTTTTTAAATAATAATAATTTAGTCGTTAGATTACAGGCTTTGATAAATGCTCTTTGCCACATTTCTTAAAGAGAATGAGGGAAACACATACAAATTTATTGTTAATACACTGTTCCCTCGCCACTTCACGCTTCATGTTTTGCGTCTTCAGTGCTTCACGGGTTTTTCCAAAATATTAACCAAAAAATAAAAATGAAAAAATACAACCAAGCGGACAGGAGCGTTGTTTCATGTTGACGCGAGAGAGAGAAGGATTCCTGCATGTGAAACAAAGAGATGAGTTGACTCAGAGTACATATACTACGGGCTCTCATGAAGATGTGTGATTGGTTGATTAATGTTTATTACTGTATAAGGTTTTGCAATTAACCTTATTAATTAGCACTGACACGTTTAAGTAAATACGTATATTGTTGTAATATTTGTCTTATAACTGTAAAGTATAAATACTGTTTACATACTTAAAACATTTGTGTACCCGCATGCATGAAAATACCTAGGGGCAAATCCTACTTCGCGGTTTTTCAGCTTTCGCGGAAGGTTCTGGTCCCCATAAACCGCAAAAAACAAAGGATCACTGTAGTTTTTTCTATGGTGACTGTGTTATAATTAAAGAGCTGAAAGGTTGAAAGCCAAAATGACAATTAAGTGAATTTGACCAATTCAAAATTAGGTTTATACCAGTGGTTGGAACTAATGCAATACAAGTTCCAAAAAATTACTGTAATCACTACTTTTTCTGTACCTTGTAATATCAGTACCATTACTTTTTCAAAAAAAAAGTAGTGCTCTAAGTAGTGTGATGCATAGAAAAAAATATAGCGATTTATTGCGACTACTTTTAATGTTAGGTAAGTAAAGAAACAAGGTTCATACTTTACTAAATTTTGAATCTAATTGCTACAAAAAGGTTGTTACGGTGTGCCTCCATCCACTTGAGATTTGTAAAATTTGATGACTTGGCAAACCCAATTAATCATTTACAGATAAATAAGAATTTCATTCTGATTAAATTTATTAATTTTATCCCTTTAGAAATCTATTTCATATAAATTTAAGTCTTAAATTAAGGCAAAATAAATGATGGGCCACAATAAACATTGGGTCACAGTTTAGTTAAAAAAAAGTTCAATTTAATAAAATACTAAAAGAATTTTTCAAAAATAGCAAATACCATTGCCATTGTATAAAGCTGTTTTAAGGATGTTAAAGATTGTAGCAAAATTAATATCATCCCGCCTCCTTCAACAGTTTCGACGGTGCGTGCTAAGAGATTTGGAGTCAAAGCTTCAAAATCTTGAAGTATAGCCATTCCAAATGTCTGTCCCAAAATAGAACGAGTTTCTCTAAAAAAATTAAAAATAATTTAGTAATTTATTTAGTTTAATAATAAATAGTTCATATTTAAATTTAAAACTGAGACAATTACAAAAGATCATTAAACAGAAGTAAATAAAGGTTCAACATTCAAAAATACAATTGAGAATATCAGATTATCACAGTCTCTTAATGAATCGTCTTATTTTTTATCTTGTTACAGCTTTTGTTGTGGAAATCTTCTAAAAATAAAAGTATGCATGAAGAAAAAAATTCATCATAGTCAACATTAAAAAGATGCTTTGCTTAGCTGCCAAACATAGGGAAATTATTGCTTTAAAAGAGAAACTTCATAATAATAACATAAAAATATAGTTCTACTCCTTCCCAACACCCAGTCATACGACATTTTGGTTATTCGACACATATAAAAAGTTTTCCAAAACATGTTTCATCATTATTAAAATTGTTGTCACCTAATTTCTGTTGTGTTAAGATCCAAAAATTTAGCTGCCAGAAAACAGCAATTAAAGAGAAAACAAAAATGTATCAGTGATATTTTTCATGATATTGTATTGTTATGTATGATCCAAAAATGAAACACAAGTGTATCATTTTAAATTATAGTTACTTATTTTTAGAAAAAAATTTCTCGAATTATAACGTTCATACACTTAAAAAAATTAACTTTAAAATGAATCGAATAATTTAAAATTTTCCCACACACTCATGGTCCTTATAGTGTCAGATAAGTAGGGTTTTACTGTAATAATAAGCAAAATAAAATAAAAAATGCTTATAGATTTAACTTAATATTGATAGATAAAACAAAATAACTAAAATAAAACAAGAAAAACTATGTACAATCTAGTGCAACTTCTGGAATAATATATAAGTGTTCACTACAGTATCATAAATTGATAAAAACAAAAATTTTACTTAGATTTGGTCTGGTAAGCTAATTTAAATATGTAGACAGTCTTAAAAAAAAGTATTTCACTAAAATTATATTAAAACTCAAGCTGATTTAACAGAATCTTTTATTAATTATCTGAATCTTCTTATTAAAAATTTAACTTGTATTAGATATTTTTCGGAATACACTTTCTGACCTCCAGAATCCAGGGCGGCATTGTTGCAGAACATTACAGAGTTCTTGCAGAAAGATTTTTTATTTGGGAAAAAATTTTGTTTTCTTATCTGCAGAATTTTTCAAAATATTTTTTTTTTACGGAACTTTTTTCCCCTTTTTTGCAGAATTATATTCAAAAAATGCCTTTCTCACATATCGGATGTGGGAAATCGCTAGTGATTTTTTTTTTAAATAAAAAAATTCCGCAATGATTGACTTTAGCTAGAATTTCAGATTCATGTTGTAAAAACTAATTTCCAGATAGCAAAAATTTAAAACAGGTTAACTATACCAATATTGTTTAGAACAAGAGAATATCGCCAATAATATTAGAATATGTATTCTTTTATATTTAGATTTTTAAAAAAAATCTCATATTTATCATTAAAAAAAATATATATACTATTCTGTTCTAAACATTAAAGCTCCTTTTTTTTCTTCTTTTGTACATAGAAAGCCTTCTGTTACTTTAAATTAGTAACATATATATATTTGCTACTATTAAAAATGTCTCTCAGAAAGTATTAGTACTAGAGAGAATTGTTTCAGAAAGCTCTAAAAAATTCTGTCACAGGGCTCTCTGATATCATCATTATAAAATGATTGCAATAAAAAAGTCCATTAAAGCTTTATGTAAAGCTTTATATTTGAATTTGAATCATCTTACTACGTAAACATCCTCGGCTCACATTCAAACTGTGACAATGCTAAAAAGTTTAGAGAAAGAAAAAAAAATTTCACTTGGCTTCTTTCAATTAAAATAAGACATTTTAATTAAAAGAAAAACAAATTGATAAAATTTTTTATTTATTCTGTAATATGATTTTCAAAAATTATGTCTTATTAAATAATAAAAATTACGTAAAGTATTAGGATAATATTGAAATCTTGACAAGTACAATTTACTTGATTGAGCTTATAGAGAAATTTTTAATATAAAAACTAGGTGTCAATATTTGCTTTAATGATATTTACAAATGGGGACAGCCTACTATTTTAAGCCACAGCTTAATTACACTGCCTTGAGTCTTGACATAACTTTACATATAAATAATAATACTGAGCATTAATATAATACTGGTTGGAAATTTATTATTTCTACTAAATAACAGAACCATTAAGGGGAAGTTATTGAAATATTGTTTGACGAAATCTTGTCCTTGGAAAGTCTTGAAAATGCATACGTAAAAAAATTTAAAACATGTGAGAATTCATGAAATTACAGGCATGAGAGTAGGAAAAGAAAAAAAGCATAAAAATACATAACAACTCAAATAAATAAAACTAGTGCATGAAATTACATTTCAGAAAAAGAAAGCATTTAAATTAGTTACATGCTTATTAATTTTTTTTTATTTTTACTATATGTGTACATTGATCGTCCCACAAACTGTTAAGCTTTTTACAGTAATAATGATTAAAGATAATAAAATAAAAATATAGTAATAAAATAAAATAATGTAGAGGTATTCTTTAAAAAAAAAAAGACATTTAATAAAGCATTTTTCTTAATTATTTCTTATTTTCAAAGTTTAGAAAGTTGGAAATTCTGCCATAAGGCGAGAGAATCTTATGAATGTAAATTAACTCATCAGTCAATTAAAAGTGGGACCCTACCAATGCTTAGAACCATAAAAAGTATTAATCTGCCACTGGATGAATAAGAAATAAGAAATCAAGATTAATAAGAAATCAAGTTAAATTTACCTATAGTAGCAATATCTAATATTAGTTGAAGCTATGAAATATTCAATTGAGTCATTTTCATCGAGGACTTGCTTTCCTTGGCCAGAGAGTGCACTTTTCAATCTTCGTCTTTTTTTCTTATTCCTGGAAGAAATTTCATTTAAAAAGTGTGTACATGCCAACAGAAACTTTTTATTAATTGGAATATTTTTCACAGAGAAATAGTAAAAAAATATCGATAGTAAAATAATGCTTCATAAAAATTTATTTAATATTGTTGATTATATCTAGACATATCTTTAATAATAGACATTAAATAATTATTGACCTTTGCATAGTCAAAACTCAATAGAAATGGTTGAGTCTTCGTCTACTAGGGCTTAGGTCAAGAACCAGTTCCTCATAGTTAAGTTTGAGTACTAGATCGAATTGCACTATTTCTGATTGTGTCATAGTGGTTCTAAGGGAATATTTTCATAATACCTGCACCAAAATGTCTAATGAATATTTTGTTATGTTTTAAGCTTAAGTTCTTTCATTATATGTTCAACGGTTCCTTAGACAGGGGTCAGTCCAGACATTTTGTGAAAGGGCCTGTTTTTATAAAATTGTGAAAAAACTATTCATAATTTGTGAATATAAAATAAGTGTTAAGTCACATTCTTATAACCAGGGTCCTGCTTTTGTAAATTATTGCAAATAGGGTCCTGCTATTGCAAAAATTGCTAAAAACCTTTTCAAGAAGTTTTTAAATTGTAAATAGATACAAAATTCTGCTCAACAATTGCTGCTACTAAATTAGAGATGCAACATACAAATATTTGGTATTTAGCCTATACTGCTCAACACAGAATATTCATTTCGGATGAATAATGGACACAAAATCACTCACATTTTTAATAATTTCAAGTGACATATTTAAAATAACACAACTTAGTAATGTATCATTTTTAATGTGTTACGCATTAAGTAAACTTAAAAAATTCTTAAATTTATAATCTTTTATTTAAAAAATTGCCAGAAATTAATTTTTACTTACATAATATTCAATTAATTAATTTTATGAATAAATATAAATCGATCAATTATTTATTTACAAAAAAAATTATGATTTAACATCAATAAGAATGCACACATGATGTTTGAAAAAGTAGAAATATTTTCTTAGAATACTACATTTGGAATTTAAACTTAGGGAAACTTAGTTTGTCTCAAATAGTCTCCCCCCCCCCTGGGAGGGTTTATTCGATTAACAAAACAGTAATGAAGATAAACAAATTTATGAAGGGTGCGATTAAAAGATAAATTATTTTGTGAAGGGTCTGTTTTAATGAAAAGATATTTTGTGAAGGTCCATTAACAGACTCAAATTTCTTCTAAACAGACCCCTGTTAGACTATTGGTTCCTTTACTACTTATATAAAACATCTGCCTTATATTTAATATTTTTTAAAAAATTTTCATCTTGATCTACCATTGAATCTGAGATCCGAAATGTTTGGTTTATCTCGGTGCAACTAGAAGAGATTCCCGTATCGTGATTTGTGACAGAATAATCGCCTAATCTTGGCAATTTCAAGGCAGCGGCCCACAAGAAATTAATTAAAAACCTCGTAGAAAGGGACCAACTTGAAAGGTATAACTCTTAGCCACCTCCCAGCAAACATCGATATGTTTTTATTTTTAATTTTAAATTTGCAAGTTTAAAATCTATTTGGGGCCTTAGCGATTGTAGTTAGGGCAACAAATCACGATACGGAAACATTCCTAGCAATTAAAGTGGCTGCACAGATTTAACATAAAAAGTTTCAGAAAATAGTGAAAAATATAACTTACGTTGAAAACCCAAGATCACTCTTATAGCACCACAAAACAGTAGGCCTTGCTTTAACTTCAGCTTTAGAAAGCATTTCATGTAAAATTACAACCTAAAATGAATATATGGATGATGAGAAATAATTCTACACTTAAAAGAAAAATATTAACACTAGCTATATTTTCAAAGATAAAAAGTGTCATGAAGTAAAAGAAAGTCCATAAAAAATCTTAGAAAAAAAATTTAAGAATAAATCAAGCAAATAACTAACACAAAATTTCACGAAATAAAAAATCGTTTAACATATTTTCTTTATTTAATTTTTAATAATAGCAACAACATAATTAACGTAATAATATAGATATAATACAGCACATAGATATAATAGTGTTAAAACACTCAAGTTGAAACACTTATGATAAATACAATTATAATTTAAACTTTTAATTAGTTATTTTTAGACATTCAGAAACGTAAGTATAAAACTTACAGAATCTCGAGCTTTTTCACCAACAACTACAAATAAAGATCGATGATGGGTAGAAACACAATTTTCAATCAATATTCGTACTCGATTATCAATTTTTTTTCGAACCATGGTGTTAAAGTTACTTATGACCTTAATTCTTAGTTTAATAAACACAAAAACAACATGTGTTTGAGTTTGTTTTGATTTTTACCGCAATCAATTCTTAAATTGATCATGAATGCATCAATATGGCAAATTATATATCTTTAGTTAGCACTGCTAACGTCAAAACTGGCCACAAGAAATGAACCCAGTGCACCCAACTTTAGTTAAAGTAACATACCAATGTTTCCTGAAACAAACACAGAATAATAAAGGCAAATAAACACAGAAAAATAAGGCAAGTTAGAGCCATTTTTTTTCATACACAGTTTAATTTTATTTAAATAATGAAAACGTTAATAGGATGTCTGAAAAGTTTTAATTCCATTATATTTTATTTCCCATTACAAAACGAATGTCTTTTCGATTAATGTCTTTTCGATAAACGAATGATAACTGCATTTTAATTGCATTATAAATTTATGTACGGCAGTCTAATTTTAAAATTTTAATTTACTTTTCACTTGAAAAGTTCAGATGCAAAATTTGATAAATAGCATACAGTTGTAATTATTTTATTTTCTTCTTTTTTACACATTTATTATTATAATTATGCTGTACGTGAAAAACAACAAATACCGAATTTATTTTCCTGTCAAATTCTTTGAAATTGGTACAGGTAGCGCATATCCGAACTCTCTACCTATGGCAACACTTAGCATTTTTACTCCAGTGGCGTGTAAATAGTCATAGGTGAAGGAAGTACAATAGTTTCTGTTTTGATTTTCAGATGAATTGAAATCTTTTTAAGTTAGAATACTATATATAACTGATAACTACATTGAACATGGTTCTAAAAATAAGCGTTGTGGAAATTTTAGAAGATATTTTTGACAATTAAATACGAAGAATATTATGGAAGGGGAAATATCGTAGTAGATCCCCTTGAAACTGAGTAGAGGAGAAGAGAAAAGGGAGGAGGGTCAAGACATGGAACCGGTATTCTCCCGAAAATAGCGTATTCGAGCGTTGCGATCGTAAATTTTTTGTTTTAGCATTTATATGATTCATCAAATTTGTAACAGTTGACGGTATGGTACTTTTATTTACATCGCTCTAGCGCTGTTGGCGACGGTCTGGGATGACCCGGATACAACATACATGCGTCACATCCTGTTATACAAGGAGGACGTATTCACGCACCATCCACTCATCCGCAGATCGTAATTTTGAATCTGAACCAGAACACGATCAATCTCTGGTACAGTACCCCTAGAGGTTTTGATTTATCATGGGAACTTGGAGAACTTTGTGATCCCGACAGATTTATCATGCACCAGTTACAATTTTGTTCATGGGGTGTCTTCGGCCGGCTGGGACCGAGCGCACGATCTCTCTGTCATGGGCCCAACGCCCTACCACCCAGGCTGTACCGGCCCCTGTAATTGGCCATAGAATGGTTGACTGAATGTAAGCAATGACGAGCATTCTAAGACCAGAAGAAATTTAGAAAACTTCCTGTATGTCCCTCCGCTTATGTTATTCTTACGAGGTGATGTGTGAACAGGCTGAATATTCTAGGAAGTTTTTTTATTGTGATTTCCGTTCAAATTTACGCGAAATTTTACCAATAATAAAAATTTTATGTAATTTATAAATTCTAAGAGGATTTATGACCAATCCAAGATAAGTGGCCTTAGGAATAAGTTGTCCTAGGTCTGCATACGATGTTATCAAAAAGGAAAAACTTCGAGATTTGATAATTTTTCGGGATCCCTGTATAACTAAAAGTTCCGGTTTCAAGGCATTGATTTCACATTTACTGCCTAAGCACCAGTACTCAATATCATGAATTTTTTTCTCTGCTAGAGTCAGGTTGGTATATTAGGGTATTTAGAAAGAGCAATTACACCCCATGGCTTTATCACCGAAAACGGAGAAGTTAGGATCTAAGTTTTAAATTAAATGTACACGAAATTTCAAAACTGAACTCGTTTCCCACCCCCCTCCCCGTTAAGAAGAGAAAGAACGAATGAAAGGAACTACACTAATCTAATCAAAATAGTATTTTTTTCTCTTTTTTGAATGCTTTTCTTTCGGGAGCAAAACACAGTTTCATAAGACAACCAAAAATCAAGGTTCCTATAGAAAATATAACTAAATAAATAGATAAAATTTAAAAAAAAAAAAAAAAACTATTGTTGATAAATTTGTAATTGAAGCTAATGCTTTTGTTCATTTTCACTTTCACAAGGAAAAATTATCTTGCCTCGAAGTTTTTAATTAGTTGTCGTGATTATCAATACTTTAATTAACATGCTTTTCTAGATATGAATGTATTATTCTATTCTCTTTAACTTCCTCCAGAAATGGATTGGTAACTGATAACGAATAATTTTGAAAGTCGTTCCTGGAATCCAATTGTACATTGCTTATAACACTCCAAATTGGGCGAAAAAAAATTTGAGGAAAAAAAAGGGAAGGAAGGAAAAGAACATAGAAACAAGAAAATATCCACTAATCTGGAATTAATAATAAATAATCAGGAATAAAAAATAGTATTTACAATAAAATTTAACAGGGACTAAATTTAGGTGAGGTTTCTCTGTTTAGCGGTGACCTAGGCTTTCTCTCTGGTCAGAGGCAGGACTCTTCCCTTGCTTGCTACGTCGGTATTAAATGTATATCTATCTTCCAATGCTTGTGTTTTTCAAGAAATAATTTTATCAGTAACATACATTTAAGCAAGAAATTTTTTTCACAAAATAAATAAGTAGTAACAAAATAATTCACCAATCTGAAATAGTAAATAAATCTGGGATAGTAAATAATCTAATATTAAAAATTGTATTTACAATTTTTTAAATCGAATTCCTAAAATTCAAGTACAATGCGGGAGTGTAAGATATTTTCTGACACAGAAATAAAAAATAATTTACACCACTGTTACGAAACTCAGAAGGAACCTTTTCCTCCGTTAGGATTTTAATAGTAATTGAGAGAAATTTATGATATATATTTGAGAATTGAATCTGTAGTGGTTGACAAGTAAATAAGACAAACCAATAATATTCATAAATTAAACAAATTTTTAGACATATATTTGCCACCATTTATTTTATTTTTACTAGATTTCTTATTAAATGGTTCTTTTATGTTATATGACTCTTCGTAATCTAATCAGGCTGCCTTTAAAAAACCGTGTGGAGGGTTTCAGTTATAGGAGGCGTTGGTTCCTTACGTGTTAACTCGACAAATTCAATTTTGAATATGTCTGGTTAAAATTATCCTACCGTCAGGATAATCATGAGGGTTTTTTCAGTTTGTGGTTTTACTATTTATGATAAGCTAATGCAAATTAGTTTCAATAAAAAAGTTTTTCTGGTATGACAACCAATTTCCCCCCTTGTTCGTTACCTTGTTTGGGAGTTTCTTTATCTTTTGTGGGCTCAAAATCGATGAGACACGAAGAAAGAATCGTTAAGGACCGTTATATGAATCTTCTATTCAACATTGGTAATTTAATTTCTTAGCGAGTATCGAAATTTAAAGAGATTCTACTGCTGTTAGATCTCATTACATTACAGTTAAGTTACATTTAGTTATCAAATAATTGAAAGTTACACCCTGATAGTAAAATAATTTTTCCTTCTATATACCGTCATTTTATTAACATAATTTTAAAATATACTACGTTCAGCAGTAACTAAATTAATAAATACTAATGAAAATTTAAGTAAATCCAATGAAAAATCAATTATTTAATAAAGTCCACTATTAGCAAAAGCTTCCAGTTTTTTCGTTTATCATTATATATCCTAATAGTCTTCCTTAATTTCTTTTAGAAACTTTTTATTTAAATTTTGTTTAAAAAAATTTAAGTTCAGAAACGTATAATTTTTTTCTCATATTGGCGAGCAATAAATTTTTTAGAGTCATATTTTTTAAAATATTTATTTAATTTAAATATTTGCTATAAACAAATTCTGAACTAGACTAAATGCCATTCCATAAGCAGCGGTAGCTTAGGGGATAAAGAATTTGCCTCCAAATGAGGGGACCCAGGTTCGAATCCAAGCGGTGGCTGGTTGATACGAATTCTGCTCCCGACTAGCACCACCCTCAGCGCTGATGTAAAATATCCTCTTTGACAGATTATGAGTTAGAATCCTCTTGCTGCCTGGCTGACGTTGGAGATTTTCGTAGTTTTCCTCTACGCGTAACCCTAACGCGGAATAATTCCATCAAAAAGTTGAAGTGTTGTTTTATCACCTTAATACAAGAGAGACTTATTCAGAAGGTTAGCAAATATTTATTCACCATAGCTGTTCTACTTTTCAACCAGACTGTTGCCATCCAACATGTAAGAAATAATTTATAATCATCTTGCTTAATCGATTCATTATCGATTAAGAATAACACTACAAAGTCTTCCACGAAGGCTAGTTTGTCACTATGCTTGACCAGGAGTTGCCTTGTCTTCTGAGTTGAATTCAAAATTACAGGCGACGGAGTCGAACATTGAAAGTCGTAAACTCAGAATATGGTTTGCTGTTCAACACCGTTTATAAAAACATCGCTCCATGAATTAAACTGTCTGATATAAAACCTTATTTTAAGACGAGCATTTATAAAAGAATGAAAAAATCTGATTCTTCACATTTTTAACATAATTAGAAATGTGTGGTAAACATATTCACAATTGCTAATGTACTTGATTTATAAAGTCGAGGTCCCGAAAAAAAATGAGGAACTGCTGCTGCTGTAAATATGTAATTTATTTAGTAAAGACGTAAGAGTGTATAGAGACTTAACATCAGAGATAAGCAGGCATGGAAAGTTTTAACTATCGCAACATCTGTTAATAAATAGTAAATTCTATATTTTTCTAGACCGATAAATGAATTATTAATCATATCGTTATCTCGAAATCGTGCAATTGCTGTAACCGCATATTCTATCAGAATCATATGCATATATATAAGTGTAAAAAATAAATAAGTGACAAAAGAATGCTAAAATATTGCCGTCAACTGCGCGTGATTCATTTTATTTTTTCACCTGGATTAAAGATTTTATTAACGTGACTAATTTTTATGCCTAAAGACTAGTTCTAGTGATTTTTTTCCCTTCTCTCTTCTATGGAACAGTGAATATGACAAATTCACGGAAAAATAAT